GGAGTTAAAAGATTAAATGATCTTGTTTTGCACATATAAAATCAGTGTCTCATAAGCCTACTCTGGATACTTAGTGACATAGACAGCTTAAAGTTGGTTCAGATTCTTCACTGCTTCACTGCTTTAATATGCTCTGCTGAAGACAGTAGTGGCTCCCAGGCTTAAAGATGAGAATATGTCACACATATATATATATATATATAATACTGTATAAACCACTAGCAAGCACTGGTTTATAAAACTACTTAATTCATTCCACAAAATGTCAAAAATAGATCAAATATTTAGATCCCAAGTAAGAAGCTCCATGCTAACTATTTTGTGGTTGTTATTTATAACACAGGTGGAATTGCTAGTTGCAGATTAGAGTCAGAATGTACATTTGAGTGCAACATTTAAAAATTAATCCTTAAAAAAAAATCAAATGCTGTTACTACACAAAGGTATTGACAACATGAATTCAGCATTCTACATTTCTGGCACTCAGAAATCAGAAACATTAAATTGTTCTGGGGTCATTTAGTTCAGGAACCAACTGTGGAGCCCATCAAAGCACAGCTTTTCTCATGCAGCTATTCACAGATCACACTCTAAAGCAGTGTAGAACAGGCCCCTTCTGTAGCTGGAGTTAGGTGAATAAACTCTAACCCTCAGCTGCATAGGAAAAATCTGGAAAATCTAACCCAGGTAAATTATCAGTCTAAGGAGCCTGAAGGCTTTTAAGGTTCTGAAACTTATTCTTTCGAAAAACTATTTATTCCAAAGGGATTGCATCAGAACATTGTAACATTGTAACATGAAGACAGCTATGTTTATTCTATCAGAGCTGAAGGGTCCTGCAGAGTGAGGGTTTCTTTAATCCGAACTCTATTTTACCTTGCTGGGAGTAGTTTGAACAACCCAAGCACAGCTGACCCCGCTGTTGTACCGCTGGCTGTTTGGATTGTTAGGGTAACTGAAAGTCCCTCTGGAGCCTGAGAGATATCCTCCACAAACTGCAGAAAGAGATAGAAAATTAAAAGGGTTACTTTATGCTATCACTATACAGACTGAAACAAAATCTAACTTTCTTGCATAGCTTTGGCATCTTACACATTTAAAACAATGGTGAAAGATAATTTCTGTAAAAGATTTTTCAGGATTTCCTCTAAAGTGGAATGACATCTCAAAAAATGAGCAAAATTATTCCCTGAGAGAAAAGTAGTTCCTGGGAAAAGAGCAAGGAATTTCAGCTGGAATATGTGGAAAGATGTGGATTCTGTTTCAGGATGATGTCCATAAGCTGCTTTGCTTCCAGAAGGTTACCTCCAGATCAAAGCTTGAAATTTTTCCCTATGATGAAATAACATTTTGAAGATAACATAATGTAAAATTGTCTTTCTGAGCAGTGATGCATCATAGGAGTTATCCATGAGAATTTTTATTATCCAGTTTATTCTTTGTGGTCAGATTTCTGGGCCTGACAATACCTCTCATAATATACCATGGTCTCTTCTCTCACTGAACCATTCAATGCATGGGAGCAACCAGATTCAAAACTGTCACATAATAAAATATATTCTTTTTTCCTTGACTAGAAACTAAAAGAATAGTTGGTACATTATGTTTTATCACTGGATAAAAACTGGTTTTCTATCCCTTCATTATGAAGGATTAAAAATCAATTTTTTCCAATGTGGACTTAATACTAAAACATTACTGGTTGGATACTTAAGGAAAACAGAAAAGAGCTCTAAAATAGAGCAGATTTCACAGGGGATCTGTGGAAGTTTTACATTCTATATTCTGTGAAAATTTAATCTCCTTTCTTCACAGCAACCTGCAATAAAAATGAGCCATCTGACAGATAGTTGCCACATTGACACTCACTGGAATGCTGTCCTGACCTTGTTTAATTAAAATTAATGGGGAAAAAAAAGCCCAAACAAAAAGAAAAAGTGATATTAGGAAGAAATGTCAGAGGCAGGACCTTGCAGTCACTCTACAAAACTGAGGGTCCCTCATTTTTGTGGCTAACATTTATTTCATTACATTTCTGTTTGAAAACCTTGTCTGGCTCTTCCTCCTGACTAAAAATGCCAGGACCTCTCAGCTTTGCAACAAATGAAATAGTACATACAAAAGAGAAACATCAATATGTTCTCTTGTTCTTATACTGGATCCTCTTTCCCAACCAGACCACTTTCTCAGGAACAGAGATCTGATTTTAGGATGTTTAGCATCTAGCCAGGGCCAGTGGGCCTGCAGATCAACTTCACAGTTGTGCTCCTACTATTAAACAAAACAGCTATAAACAAAACTCACGGAAATCTCCAACTTTGAGGGAATTTGGACAGGGACCTGTAATCCCCCCAAAAGACAGCTGTTTTTCCCATCATAACTCAGTTCTTTTTCACACATCAGTGCTATACACAAAGCATCTACTTGCTGAAGCCTGGTGTCACATTTCTCCTGTGGAGGTGGTCCTGGCTGTACCTTGCTGGGCAGTCTGGCACTGTGGTCCTGTCCAGGCGCTGGTGCACTCACAGGAGTACCCGTTGATCCCATCAGTGCAGCTCCCCCCATTCTGGCATGGGTTGCTAAGGCATTCATCAATGTTCTCCGTACAGTTAGGGCCTGTCCAGCCCCCATTACACAGGCAGAAGTATCCAGAGATCATTGCCTACAGTATAAGCAAATCAAATAAACTCACTGAACTTGAAACACCTAAAGGAATCACTACAGTCAGAAGAAAGACTGATATTTACACTTATTTTATGAGGAGATACTGGAGCAAAGAACTCACAGAATCAGAGAGTATGCTGAGTTGGAAGGGATCCACAAGAATCATCGAGTCCAACTCCTGGCCCTGCACAGGACCATTCCCAAGAGTCACATTGTGTGCCTGAGAGAATCATCCAAATGCTTCTTGAACTCTGTCAGGCTTGGTGCTGTAACCACTTCCCTGGGGAGCCTGTTCCGGTACCCAACCACCCTCTGGGTTAAGAACCTTTTTCTAATATCCAGTCTAAACCTCCCCTGACACAACTTCAGGTCATTTCCTCAGGTTCTGTCACTGGTCACCATAGAGAAGAGATCAGTGCCTGCCCCTCCTCTCCCCCTCATGAGAGAGCTGTAGACTGCAATGAGGCCTCCCCTCGGTGTTTGGCCTTGATGGTCACTGGTGAATATCAAAATAAACCTAAAGCCTAATCAGATTACCTAGCTCTTTGTGGTTTTTTCTATTAAATTATTTCTTTGCAATGATCTTTCAGATTACTTTTTAAAAAGTCAGAAACAGAAAACAAAAACAGAAAACTGTTTGATTGGTTTCAGTCAATCATATTATCTAAATCTTATAAATAGCAACTCAAGGTAACTGGTTTATAAATCAGTTCCCTCAAGCCCTTTCTCTTGGAAGTCTGCACTGCAGTTACGTGGGCTGTTAACTTTCATTTATATCCTGAGGAATGTTAAATGGGAACAATTTCATTGCCTTTTCTGCATTATCCCTTATTCTGTATGTCTCTTTTCCATTTCTCTTGTCTCTACCTTTAATACTTCTCCTTATAATCAAGTCTTTCTATATCTCTAACTGTTTTAATTTCACATGTTCTCCTACATTATATTTCCTGTTTTGCAGACACAATCTTTACAGGTAAAACAGAACACAGTATTTCAAGGCATATGCTAAAATCCCATCACTGAGGACATACAATCAATGTACTACACTCTCTGTTTTGTATTCTCTATTTGCATCCTCTGTGTCCAAACAGAGATTTTCAGTATGATGGAAGAAGATTTTTAGGCGTATTTAGGACTCCGAACATTGCTCTAGAAGGTGAAAAGTTGTTTTCTGATCTGCATTGCCTGATATTTAATTAACATTACATTTCCTCTGTCATTATGCTGGCCAAATATAGCTCTGCTGTTCCTCTATTTTATTAGATGCTTCTGTAGTCCCATTATTGAACTATCTGACTGTGTTATTACCTTTAGGTAGTAGTTTGTAGCCATGATTGCCTACTGTTTTATGTTAGGATATACTTAGGGGAAGATGTCATATCTTTTAATAGATTGACTAAAATGAATAGTTTCTAAATAGTCAGGAAAAGTAGATTAGATCTGGTCACAAAAGACCCTTTAAATATCTGAGAGAAGACACAATAGGCATCTATAGAATAGAGAGTAAGGAATGCTGGTAAGGAGTGGAGTGGAGGTGAAAGGATCATCACACTTCACACAGAAAATGGAAAAAGGGATAGGTAACATACCATAGAATCATGGAAACATTTAGCTTGGAAAAGATCCTTAAGATCACCAAATCCTGCTGTTAAACTAACACTGCCAAATCTACCTCATATATCCCATTTTCCCTGTGCCTTCAAGGACAATCAAAAAGAGGATATCTGCAGATCAGTGTGGATAGATGGGAAAAGATTCTACTGGAACAACAAATTTGTGAACATTTCTCCAAAATCATCATCATAAATATCCCCCACAACAAAATTCCCAGATCTGCAGTATGGACTTCCCTAAGCACAGCACTCCTCACTGAGGAAGCCAAAAATCCTTCACAGGGTCCACGTGGACAAACTAAATGGTCACTGTGCATGAGAAAGAATTCACACCACTTATCGGTTTAGGTCCAAAATACTTGGTTCTCAGCAGAAGTGCAACCAGTTCCCTTAATGCACTCTTTCCATACCTATGTAAACAGCCTGAAACTCCAGGAGTGCTCTCACAAGATCAGACTAGAAATACATAACTAACTCTACTGGATATTAACAGTCTGAAGGTCAGCAGAGGTCCCATTTTTTTATCATGGGCAATTCCTTCATGATCCAGGGATCATGTCCCTGTCCCACCAGGGACAGTCATTCATGAGTTCTTCCCCACCAGCACTAGTATTCCATCACTAGCCTGGGATACCAGACAACTTCTCATGTCATGAGTACCAAGATTGCTGCCTCTACATACAAAGAAAATGGCTTGTGTGCCCTGCGACTCATTTTGTTTTCCCCAGATCCATTGATCTTGCACTCCTCACTGACTTTGCCTCATTTCCATTTGTGTGTCTGCACTCAGCTTTCAGCCTAACCAGGCTCCCTGATGTACTGATTATAACCACACAATCTTGTCACTAACTGTGAGGAGCCCAGCACTTACCAAGCACTGCCCATTTGCACAAGGGTTTTGCAGCTGACAGATATCACTGAGAGGAGAGCACCCGTTTGGCCCATATCCACTTCCAGTGTACCCAGGCGGGCAGGAACAAAATGGCATTAGTCCTTGGGAGATAAGACAAGATACAGAAGGTAATTCAGTCCCTGTTACAATAACAATACCAATGACCACAAATGTCACTGACATTATATTTTATATAATTCTACCTTATTTGATCTTTGACACCTTCCCTGATCAATGCCCAGTTTCATCATGGAAAGATCCCTACCGTTGTTTTGCTGTGAGTATCTGAAAGTCCAGAGTCACCCCAATGGGAAATAGCAGGAGTAGACAAAGGGTATTTATGGAAAGAAGACTAGCAAAAGCGGCTGTATAATTGGAAAACCACATCAAAGAGAAATGGTGAAAGTCTCCATAGTTTTCGGATAAAGTCTTATCTTTGGTGGAGTCTAAATCTGCTTCTCTCAGTATTAGTGGAAAGGCATGCTGGTTTTAGCTAACCTGCCTGTAAACTCCTTTGGGTGAGGCAAAACTGACTGTGGAGAAGAGGCTGTAATATGTTGCTACAAAGTGGATTCACCATAACCAGATCCTCCTTGAGAGACAGAGGTCTGGTATTACTTACAGTATTTAGGAAAGCATCATACCTGGACCTGAGGTACAAGTAGCCGAAGGATGGCACCCTCCATTATTTATTGAGCAGATATCAACCTGGGTACAACTTTGTCCATCTCCCTCATAACCTGTTCAGAAGCAAATCTCAGTTAGTCTGTAACAAACTATGTTCTTCGAGAATTGGCAGCAAAACAATCAACTGGTGAGCAAAACACTAATTAATGGTGTAAAATCAGAGTCTTCTGCAGTTAAAAAGAACAAGTTGAGATAGCCACTGAAGTAAACCCTGCATATTTATTGTGGTGTCTGCATTGCAGGGGTGGATTCTCATTGTAACTAAATCCTCCCACGGTTGTAGAAAAGAAGATATATTAGTGTTTGCCAAATACAGTGAGGCCACAGAAACCCATGTCTCTCAGCCACCATGTGCTGCCCTCCTTACACATCTGCACTCCGTCGGCCCTAATCACATCCAGGTTTCCTGCTGCATGCCAGAGCTGTCCTTGGGTCTCAAACACAACATCCAGTTCTTCCCAGGAAGTTCAGCAGGACCAACTCTGAGTCGCCAGAGTTAACATCACCAAAACTTGCCTGAGGCCACATTTCCAGCATAGTGATATGCCTTCAGCACTCACTAACTGAGGGTCTTCACTACCTGCAGCCTATTGCCATTTAAATAGCAATCAAAAAGTCAATTAGGAAGAATTTTTCCTGTTAGTGCTTCTAGTATTTATAGCATGCCTTTCAGAAAGCATTTTAAATCATAAACCACAAATTATGGAGACATAAGTTGCGACTTCCACTACTTGACCTGTACTGCAATGGAAATTCTGCCGCCTTAGACAGCATTCAGAGCGTGACAATTATCAAGGCCTTTTTTTATGACAGACAATACAGCTGATTTATGGCACAGAGGATGCTCTTTCAATTAATACAGACAATGAAATTACTATCATAATTATGCAATCCTTGGTTCCCTTTAATGATTTTGTAAAGTAGGTACTTCATCAAATCAAGGCTCTAACACTGAAAAGGGTTACCTACGACAAGAGAAACACATATCAGAGGATCATCTTTAGTGACGTACTCTATACAATCTTCATTAATATCTGAAGCAGTTTGAATATACTTGGACTCTGCATTCCGTATTACAGCATTGTATTGTGTACGTGACACTTTCTTTAAAACCAATTTTCAGCGTCTTAAATCTACCACAAAACAGAATCAAGTGGGTTCAATCATCATCTTTTAAGCCCTTCCATATTATTATCAACAAGAAATCCATTTTACCTGGCGGACAGAGCCCACAGCGGAAGGATCCAACTGTGTTGATACATTGAACCATTGGTGCTGTTGAGCAGCCTCCATTACTACTTGCACATTCATCAACGTCTTGGCAACTGTAGCCATTTCCTTGCCAGCCTAAAAAGCGGCACAGAAAGGACATTGGAATTGAAAATGACTGACCTTTTTGTTTTTTTCTTTGCCCAAATCTTTTCATAGAGCACAAAAATACAGCTTCTGAATTTCACTTCATTAACCCAAGAGAAGACCTGTCTCTCTCATAACTGATTAAAATGAATACCAGTCTGCAAATTAGGTTACAAACACAACGGGGTGGAGCTGTGTATGCAAGAATGTTTTATTTTGACTGTATTCTGGTTATTTCAGAATCAAGCACACTTCTACCTGCAGAGGAGGCAGTTGTGGTCTAGCGCACATATGTACAATTTGCAGCAAAGTTCTACTGTAACTCCAGATAACTACTTCAAAACCTCCTCCCACAGACACCACCTGCCCATCTCCAGAAGAGGAATAGTAGGTTATATGGTTTGAGGGGACAATTGGGCTTTTATATTGCCTTAGGGCAGTAAGCATATGGATACTGAAAGTACTGCAGACTTATTACACAAATGGACATGAAGGTACCCGTGAGCATGAAGGTACATCAGACCTATTTAGGTGCTCAGTTTAGGATGGGATAAATCATGCAATAGACTTCACTGCCTGCGTTACCCAGATAAAACATAATCTGCAGACTTTTATTCTCTAGAGTACAGACCAAAGCATTTCATGGAGTTACTTCATCTTGGTCCTGTGTCTTTGCTTATCACATATGGGCAGTAGTACCTACTGCCACCCCATCCTGCCTGAGAGCATGGAAGGATGTGATACCTGTGGGGCAGGGACCACACGAATAGGAGCCTGGAGTGTTGAGGCACTGCACAAATGGATCCTGTGAACATGGATGATCAGGGAGGCTACATTCATCTATGTCAGCACTGCAGGCAGGGCTGCCAGGAGGGGACATCCAGCCACTGTCACACATACAGTGGTACTTGGGCTGCCACAGAAAACATCACATCGCATATTTAAGACATTTGGAATAGCCAAGAAAAAGGCAGGAGTTAATTTTATAAGATTATTTTCAATCTATAGCAAGAAAGCTTTCAGAGCATCACATGGCTTGTGCATTCTGTTTTATAAGTTGCTTTGGTAGTTTTCTAAGACTATTTCTTCCTCTGAACTTACCTATTTAGATTATGGAAGCAACTCAGGCTCATTCATTATGTTCATAAAAGAAATCTGTAATTTACCCCAAAGCTCCCAGAGAAAATGAAGAGCAATTATGAGCTGTACATAAATATAATTAAAAGTCATCAACTTGCTTTTTAACCAATGTAAACAGATCAGTGTAAGCAACCTGAAATCATCTTGGCTGTTTATTTTTAATCAAACTATTAGTAATCTGTGCAATGTGCAGCACTGGCATTACATTGCAAGTATATATTTTCTTTTAGGAAAACAGTTTTCTCTCTAGTAAACTTTACTAATGGCCAGATTTCAGCATTTATTTAGCTTTGGTCCAATTAAAGCTAATGGGAGCTTTATTGTTGACAGTCACAGGAGCAGACGCTGTTAAGCCAACACTGAACCCTTTTGAAAAGCTTTCTTCACAAAAACTGGGCAGAAGACAAATAATGAGTTATGAAACTTCTACAAATTAAGCAAAGAAATAATTTTACAGCATAGCACAAAAAAATATGTGCTGTGACTGGAATGGTGCATGGACGCATAGGAGTATTAAGGAGCACAGGCTTGGTTGGGTAGTTTTGGAGGGCTGCTCTGAGTGGAAAGAGGCAAAACTGGCATGTTCCATCTATCCCCTTGGAGTGAACACCCTGTACCCAGCTTCTTGCCCAGATGGAATGAGCTGGCTTGCTCCAGAAGAGCACTCAAGTGTGTGCTAGCATCCACCCAGTGCAGACGCTTGGAAAGATTGGGTCTGGAGTCAGAGACCACTTCCAGCTGACACTGAGGAGCACCAAGGATGAGCGACAGCCACTCAGTCACTAGGCAGCCCTGGCAGCTTCCAGGCCACTGGCAATAATGTTCCACTGGTATGCCTTTTCCCAGGAAAAAAAAGATTCATGACGTTTGTCCTTCTTAATCATTTAAGTAGTAAAATATTCTAGCAACTTAGAACTCCCCAAATAATGAACATCCAGCCAGAGTCAGAATATTATATTTCAGGTAAGACTGACTTATTCAAAGAATATTCCCAAGCTCCCTATGGATGTAGTAGTAGATTTAATGCTATGACAAGTACCTTTAACAAGACACAAGATATTTTTGATTCTTTCTGCTGTCTGTGGGACAACAGAGAGCTTAGGTTATGTTGTATAGTGGCACTTCTTGCTATTTTTCAGCAGCCATGTGCTTTACACAGTTTTGTGGTGATCAGCATTATTTGTTGCTTTTTCATGGTATGTTGTATAATGAGATTTACACGTTGTTCCATACCCTGTTGTGCTGATCCCTTTCTTCATCTATGCAGAGGCCATGCTCACAGAGAACCTCAGATCCTTCCTGGCAGTCATCAAACTTCAAGGCGCAGTGAGGCCCATAGGTTTCTGGAGTACAGGAGCAGCTAGTGGTGAAAGCGGACAGAAAAATCAAAATTTTGTTTTCCTACAGCTGTTAAAGATTGTATATTGCCATAATAAGAGATCATCTGCTACTATATGGGATGTTCCTTACAAAATACATCTATTTAGCTATATTGACAATCCCATCAATAATCATGCACAGAGGCAAGGCTCCTGTTCAGCAGTGACTCAAGAGTCATGTGGGACTTGTGTATATCCATGACTGCCCGGCCCTGTGGGAGAATCTACAGCCTTTTGTTGCATTCATAAGCACAAATCCAGGAAAAAAGATACGTCTAACATTAGACTTAAACAGAATATGAGCCTGGAAAACTGTACTTCTGTCAAAGAGCACCTAAACTGTCCATTGCAGTTTATGACCCTTGTATGATGCCAAGTGCATAGAATCCTACCTCCAGCAATATGCAGAAATGCCATGTCTGGCCTGTCCCAGAGAGCAGGGAACCTTCACACCCACACCATAACAAGGGGCAGCTGCTGTCCCAGCAGCAGCCCAGCTTTTAGATAAGTGTGGTGTGCAAGAGGCGGAATATGGGGCTGATGGGGTGGGAAAAACAAAGTAGTGGGTTGAAGAAAGGCTTTCTGTTGGGAGAATCTGGCTTGACAGCTGCCAGATGCATCACATTTTTATTTATAGGGCAGACCTGAGTTACAGCACTGTACACATGTGGTGGAACTGAAATTGGGAACTTCTAAGCCATTGGGTAACATTTCCCTTTTCTCTGGCTCTTTATTTCCACATAGACCAAATCTGAGGCTCTGAAATACAACTGAAAGGGATCTAAATCTACAGAAAATGTACAGAAAGCCAGAAAACTGGTTTCTTATTAAAATGACAATGAAACTCTCATTTGGATACAAGTCATATGCTGCAAGGTCTGCACCTCACAGAGACATATGGCAAGTACACACCCTTCTTTGCTTGCTTTTAAGTTGCCTAACGAAAAATCCTCTATAAAAGCACTTCTCTGCAGAATTCGAATATGGGTATTCCATGAATCTGATCTGGACCTTGGAGCAATTTATATACAATAAGCTACTGCTGCCTGCCACTGTGTCACATGCTCAGTTGAAACTGCAGTTTGATAAGCCAATTGCAGGTAACTAAAACTGCACCCAGGACAAGTAACCCACATGAACTCAGGCTTCAAAAACCCACAACAGCTTAATGCTTAACTGCAGTACTGCAAGACACCATGTTCATTATTGTAAGAGACGGCAGGCAGGCCCACACCATCTCATCAGTGCAGCAGCTCAGCCTGGGCAAGCACAGAGGCAACAGGTCAGGGAACCAAGTGACTTTTGTATGTTCAAAGTACATTCAGAGCTTCATGTTCAACTCCAAAGCACACAGCAAAGCAACCTGACCATCTCCAAAGGAGAAGGACAATGGAACTGTCTCCTGCCTAGTCCAGCAAAGATTAATCTGCTGCCCATCTGAAGTTTCTCAGAGAACAGATTCAAGAAGTAGGTCACACTGCAAGGAACTGCAGCCAAATTCTGATATACTGCTGCTCAGCACTGCCCTGCTGTTGTCACATGGCTGATGGCATGTTGTGATGAGGCCCCTGTTATTTTGGTTGTGACACAGATGTCCGATAGACTTGAGGACTCTCACAGCCTTTCATCCAACTGATGCAATGTCCCCTTAGGGTTCTGACTGAGGAGGGGGTTTCCTGGATACCTGCTCTTTTTCCTCACACTTCAGTGCCGCCCTGAATTACAAGAAAAGCATGGGGGTAAAGAATCTGAATAGGGAGTGAAGATTGCATTATGTTCCATTTCATGCTACCTAATTCAGTACTGCCCATCACCTGCTGTTATCTCTGGGGGTTGTGGAAAGTCAATTATTACCCTCTTCTTTGCCTGCTGTCCATGCTTGTGTATTTAACTACACCAGAGCAGGAGTGGGGTGATCTGGGCTGCTGGGTCCCAGAAAGCTTAGCAGCAATGTCCTCACAGTTGTTGGAAAGTGATATGTTACACCGTACATGGGGATAGATTTAGTATCTGGGGAGCACTAAGAAGTGAGTAAGACAATATGTGAAGGGAGACTGAATACAGTACAGTGGACTTGGGGAAAGGACTATATGAAAATCCTGAGCAGGATTAACTCTTTGTTAATACTGAAGCATGAGGACCACTGCAGGAGCACTTTCCTGGTGGGAGGTCTCTCCAAGAACTGATAAAGCACTATAAGCTGGTGTTATGCCAAGCAAATATTTGTGGGGGCTAAGATTTTCATGCTGAAGCAGAAGTCAAAATGCTGCACAGAAAGCTGTGGTATGCTCTCCAGCCTGCTTGTTCCCATTGCACAGGGATAGCTTTGTATTATATCTGAAAGTTATTTATTTACCAGATTATTTGACATTTTGGAAAATAAGACAGAACGTTCAGGCTGGCTTGCCCTGTAAGCAATCGCGTGTTTCCTAAGGAGCTGGGCACAGCCAGAGAAGGATGTGCTCCAAGGGCCTCATGTCTATGGGCTCTGGCACACAGGCAGGCCAGGCACTCTCTTGGCCAGTCAGCTGCAGAAGTCATTTCTCCTTCCTTTATGCCTGGCAGGACTGTGCATTCCTTGCTCTGCTGCTGTCTCAGCAGTGCCTGTATTTCTGGAGGGGATGAAGGCATTTCACAGAACTGTTTCTGATTTCAAAGAATATTCTGAGTTAGAAGGGACCCACAAGGATCACCACATCCAACCCATAAAGGGATTTATATGGGGATTTATAAATCCCATATGGGGATTTAACCCACGACCTTGGTGTTATTAGCACCACGCTCTAACCGAGTGCGCTGGGAATGCCAATGATCAAGGCTGCCCATATATTCAGGAGATTTCCAACAACTCAAAGCCTTTGCTGGGCCAAAGCTGTTCACCTCTTTCATCTCCTCACTCCCTTTGATCTCAAGAGCTGGTGATAACAAAGGGATGGTAACATGGTTGTGGTAGGTGGGCATGTTGGCGAGTGCTGGTTACAGACTAGCATGTTGCATCTCACCACCCCAGCTCCATCCTATGGTACAGTGAATTTCCATTAAAGCATCTGCACCTACAGCAAGGAGGGTGGGCCACTGGAGCCAGTGTTTAATTTGCAGCCTTCTCCCCTGGCACCGCTGTGTGATGGATCTGGTTCCTGATGGTTTTTTTGTGTCAAAGCAGGCAATGGCTTTGGAGGGGCTTTTGTGTCTGCAGTGGGCTCAGTGTACAGTATATTAAGGATTTTACATTTTCTCAGACTGCAAGGAATTATAGTGCATAGATACTAAAAGATTTACTTCTAGAACTTGAGCTGCAGGTGTGATATGGAGTACAAAAATAACAATATTCTACACAGGATATTTATGTCTACTTTTGAGAAGTTACCTGTAGTTGCCTGGTGTGTTCACACAAGTGGCTCCATTCTGGCAGCCTAATGCAGTTCCAGCAAAAATCTGGCATTCATCCACATCTACTGAGCACAGGGGACCCTAAGATGAAATGGAAAACCAGTTTATTTTCCAAATAACTGAGAAATGAAGCAAACCACGGAGCCAATGTTTAAAATAGTTTTCAAAGACATACAAACCATGGGCTGTTATCAGCACAGCTTCCCTTATGAAACACAATAACAAAACTCTATTTTTCAGCTGTGTTTCTGTGACCCTTATTATCAGTCAGATGGGGATAAAATGTTTCAGATGTAGAAAGCATACGAACAGCACATTATTGTCATCCCCCCTACTTTCCAACTAGCAAAAGGCTCAGAAAACTTTCCTTCAAACTGTTTCTATCAGAAAAGCACATCAGTTTTGACCCAAATCTTGCTGGGATAACTTTCAAGTTGAAAGTCTTTGAGAAGAAGATACAACTTTTCCATCTCTAGAGCATTTAACAGCACCATTAAAGCATTTGCCAGTAAAGTCTCTGGATTTAAAAAACTCAGAATGTCATTGATTACTTACATCCCCATTTGTCTTACTTGTTTGAGATTGAATAAATATCCATCCCTTCCCCCATTCTCTCCCTATCCTTGTGTAAGGTCAACAGCAAGGCACACAGTTCAGTTCACTGCTCAGCAAAAAACAGAGAGTAATTCTCTGCTGCGGGAACTGCCAAGAATCACTGACTTCACAGGCCATCGCCTGCATATAACAGTTCAAACACACACAAACACACTCTGTAGTCAAGGAGGCTAAAGACTCACCTGCCAGTTGCTGGGACAGAGGCAAAAGAAACCATCCAGTGAGTTTACACAGGTCCCTGAGTTCTCACATGGGTTACTACTGCAGGCTCTCTTCTGGATAGTCTGAAACCCAGGAAAAGAGCAGTAAATGAGGTTTCTGCTAGCTGGTGTTCCATTAACATTTATTTTCAAGAAAAACCTCTCTTTTTTTTTTTTTCTTTTTTCATTCTTTCTTGGATCCCTCCTCCCACCTTTTTCAGCAAGGTTGATTTGTAAAGGTTTTGAGCTGTTTCAGTTATCCCTGTACAAAATAATGACACTATGTTTGGTCATACACAGAATGGCAAGAACTAGAATGAGAAAAGCCCTGTAAATGTAAATATTAACAGAGATTGTTCTTCATCAGCAGCCTGTGGGTCTAGATGGAGGGTTATCTTGTCTTCTTGATTCCATGGGCAACTCATCTGACAACTGCTTTTACTGGCACCTGTAGGTGTGGCTTGTCACAAGCTCACTGGAGAAACAGACAACAGTTGAAAATTAGCTAGTTCCAGTATAATAAAAACCCAGTTTGAATTTTCTGGTCTTTGTCTTGACAGACCAGTGAAGGAAAAGCTTACTTCTCTTTGGTAGCTAGTTGTTGTTCTTGAGTACACAAGAAATGCAGGCTCCTACACAGTTTGTATTTTGTAAGAAGGTATTTCACCTCCTCCACAAATCTTGGCTTTTTTTTTTTTTACCTCCTGTTACCAAAAAATGTTTTCCTGAGGAATGCATGAGATTAAATAAATCATTCGGCTATTTAATCATTGTAACCTCACTTTATTTACTCAGGGCTGGGATTTTCTTTTCTGATCTCTAGTTTGCTTCTCATTTACTTACCTGCTCTAAGCTTTGAAGTTGGTTATCAAGATTCATGATCTGCAAAAGAAATGCAAATTACATTGTGCTGGGTATGACAGTGACCACAGAGGTATGTGTTGGAGGCTGGTAGGCTAACAAAATATTTTCCTTTGAGAAAAGAGAATATTTGCTTTGTGAAACCAGGTGACAGTCAGCTTCAAATCAGGCCCCATTCACTGGGATTTTGGTAGTTTAGGCTGTTCAGGAAATGACAGCTTAAATATGTCCCAGCTTGGATCCAAAAGGCAAGACTCAGTCTTGCAAAGATGTATTCAGGTGCTCAACACTGAGAACGTGAATATTCCTGTGGGACTGTTCAGGTCCTTGCATGTATGTGAAGGATGGACGTCTGGGACAGCACAACGAAAGCCAGGAAGAGGATCACCATATCCCAGCGGGTGGTAGACACAAACAGCAAACTGACACTGAATCAGAGAATATCATAGATACGTATTATCACAATTTTCCTGAGGGAAGGTCTCTTAGGCTACAAAATATTTTCCTATAAGGAACTTGTGGAAACACTGTAACAAGAGAAACTTAAATCAGACAATGGTTTCAAAATCTTCTGTTGGAGAAAAAATTTTTAAAGAGCAGGGAAAAGACTAAACTACTGCATAGGTCTTTTTTTTCCACTGCAAACCCCTACAGTCCATTTCACCTATGGAATGGAATGTCTGTGTAACAACTATAAAAACATATATGGTCCACTTCCAGAATTTAGTAGAATTACACTTCCATAAATATTAGAGGATATAGTCTATTGACATGTTGACAATGAACAAAAGAAGAATCACAGTAACTGGAAATTAGGGGGTGATTTACAGAAATATTTCCATCGTCTCCAGATTTTCTGACTAAGTATCTCAAAATAAAACACAGTCTCCAAGCTGATGTTATGTATGGACTCTGCTCCAGTTCCCTGAATTGAAGTCTAGAAACACTAAAATTAATCAGGTTGTTTAATGTTAGTGTGAAGAACAGAAAACTGGGAATGTTGGAGGAGGATAACACGAAGGTATGGCTCACCTTGGAGGTCAGCAGGGCAACCTGCTGGGACATGTTCTGAGAGGCACCACTGGCTTTTTTAAGTTCTTGAATCTCTGAGTGACTCTCTCTCACCTAAAATTAAACAACAGAGATAACGCGAAACAAACTTTGCTTTTTCAAAAGCTTAGGAACGTTTTGTCCTTGCATAACTTTACTATTATAAAGTCCACTTAAATACAGAGAGCTCTCCTACATACACAATTTAATCTTTTAATTATCTTCTGTAATGACATGATTACTTTATAAGTCTGCAATAGCTTACTTTCACATTAGACTACTGATATAGATAACACAAAATACAATCATACAAAACACAACAAACACTTGCAAAGACAATTTAACTATTAATGTGCAAACCTGAAAATTAAAATATATTAAGGAAAAGTAACTATATCACCTGACTACAAAGTTCTGCAAGGTCTTCTTCATTAATTTTTACTTTCCCCAGTGGTCCAGTTCTAAATTCAATATTTTTGCTGGAGCCAGCATGGAACACCAAATTGCCCTGCTCTGAGGACAAACGAGGCCTGTTGTATTATGGAGGGAAAAAAAAGTAAGAGATCATTTAGTTACACATATCTGCAAAAGAGCACGTAAAAAGGAGCTGCAGTAAAGCCATTCTGTTCCCATTACCAGCACTTAGAGGGGACTGTATGAACAAATGAATTTCCAAGCAATGGTACTTACTGCTCGTCATAAGTGGTTCGTTTCTGCCTCTTATTTTCATGGTGGTTTAATTCACAGCTCAATCCAGTAAGTAATAATAACACAACTAAAAGCACAGGAGCAGGAGCAGCCCAAAGCATTGCTCTCCTCCAGCTGTCCTGCGTTTGAAGTGAAACCTTTAGTGCTGGATTGTGGTGTTGTGAGCCCAGGTGCCCTTTGCTCTCCTTGTTCACAAGGTGCCCATTCTGCTGCCTTGTCTTGCAAGGGTGAACTTTATCTCAGATATCTTAATTAAAGATTGACAGCATGCAAATCCTCAAGACACTAAATGCATTTTTCTCATTTTGTCTTTTGGTTTCAGGAGCTTTGAGAGATCATTGATTGAAATCTGCTTGTATTTTACCAGTTTGTCTTTGACCTTTGTACAGCTGAGCACCCCAGTGTCTCCAAGCACCTTGTAATCTGCAGCTGGTTACTGCAGAAATGGCTCACATGCTGCACCGCATGGATGAAGGAAAGATTATTTGGCAGCACTAAAGGACTTAAATTGTTACAAAAAAGGAAAAAAAACCCAACCCCACATATAAAACCCACAGTGGCTGGCAAGGAATATTTGTATTGGAAGAGAAGCTTCCAGACAGTAATTTATTGGTCAGATGACACAAACAAGTTAAGCAGTACCAAACAGCGTCCCATGGATTGCAACAGTAAAATACAATTTTAACCAAATATGGCTGCTCTGACTCAAGGGTGACTCAGTCCCCAGATGCTGAGGCCCAGGCTGTTGCTGCTGAAAGCCCTGACAGAGTCCATGTCCCACCTCCCCTTTGCTTTTGCCAGAGTCTCCATATTCCCCTTGCTCAAGACTTTGCTGTGCTTTCTTCTTCCTGTTTAGGGGAGCTCTGTACATGTTTTCCTTCCTCGTGTTGGGAGCTTCCTGAACCTTCAGGCCTAGCACCATTCTTTTTGATTTTCCTTTTTGCTTAGTAGATAACTTATTCAGGTTGCTCACATTTCAAAACTCTGCTGAGAAGAAAAGAGAAGCAACAGTTTTAGCTGCTCGTGCTCAAAGGTAACAGCAGGCACCATTCACTGATACTTTAAGCCCCAGACCTTCCTGGAGGCCATGGAGCTCCTGCACTTCCTAACCCTGCCCAGCCTTTCTTTCTGCTCCAGTTTGCACTTGTCACCCACAGATGGACCTGCCCTGGAACTGAGGAATTGAATGAACTCTACAGCTTTCACAGATGAAAGCATTAAAAGGTCAAAGCAATCTGTGAAGAAATTGGATGTGGTGACAAAAAATATTAATGTCACCTGAAAAAGAGACAGATGTGGACTGTAAACATGAACCGAAGTCAGGACAGCTAATGTGGTGCTGCTATAGACAATAACTTGATCTTTGCTGTGAATAACTGTAATGCCTGAGATTTTATCAGCTGTATCACACCACCTCCACTATTTCCTGTTGTTTGCATAAAAACTAGATTTTTATTACATTTTATTATCTGTGTCTGCAGAAACTTACCTTGGAATTCAGAACAGCATCATCCTGCTGACCACTTTCCTTGTACTCAGACAGACTCTGATGCAGGTAACCCAACAGTCACCGCTGCTGCCTGGGGATCTGAAGGGCAGAGGTAAAGCTCCTCCTGAACCCATGGGAGACAGCCTGTCCCATGTACCTACTGGTGTGGCAACAGCTCAGCTCTCTGGATGTTCACTTGTAGCAGCCTGCAGCCTCCAGCAGACTATCACCTGTTCCTGCAAGAACAGAGGAAAAGAAGTAGAAATTTTCAGGTGTTATCCTTTATCATCATAGGGGATAGTGTTTCCATAAAAATACAGAATTTTTATGGAATTGTATCTTCAGTTGTTGGAGATATCACTGCTCCATTCGATCCAAATGAGCTACAGTATTTTACACCAATTGAGAATCTGTACCTCTACTTTCTTCTGTTTGCTATTATGCTTTTTGCTCTGAAACCTCTGTTCAAGAATAGGACAGCATAGACGAATTATCAATGTTTCTGTCTAGTCGACTAGACACCTTCTGCCTCTGGGTATCCTGTACTATCCATTAAACTAGCGCTCATTAACATTCTTCCTGTCAGTTCCAAAGTCTGTCTAGTGGGGTTTTTTGCTCTTTTTGTTTTGATTTGCTTTTTGGTTTAACAGTTTACTGAGTTTGTATAACTGTCAGTTGGGTGTAAGCTTGAATAAACTATGGGCCAACTACACCCGCACTCCTTACCAGGCTGGGTGAGTGTATGCATACTCCAGGAATTTACTTCCGCAAAGTCCATTGTGTGCTGACAGTTTCCATCCTGGCTTTCAGCTGTGGACCACAAAATCCTTCCTTTTCTCTATTCATTTCTTTTGCATATTGAGCATGCACTGACTCTCTCTGCTGCCTGTCAACCTTCGATTCAGGCTTTCCTTTCTAACTAATTAGCTCCAATGTACCAATAACCAACGCACAATAAACCATGAAGGATGAGGAGAAGGTTGCTAATGCAAGGAACAAGAAGAAATTCACCTTCTCTTCCTGCAGGCTTTATAGCTTAGAAAATGGTTGGCCTGAAGACCAGCTGACTTCAACTATGCACTGATTATAGCATGGAAAGAGAGCACTGGACATTCACCCAAACTTTGCATGACACGCTATTTTCCATTTCATTAGACTTTCCAGATTTTAGTTAATTTACTCTTTATTCCTAGTGAATGCACCTTAGGCTGGCCAAATTGAGAAATCTAAAAACCATCTTAAGGAGAAAAATAGGTCCACACCTTCTAATTTTACTTTAATACATTGGATTGAGACATCATTTTTGGAGGAATAGAATGGAAAAGCTGCAAATGTCTGGCACAAGAATAGGGGCTGTTCGTTCTAACAAGAGCTGGCATGAACCCTTCCTCCTGGGACAGGTTGTTTAGTACCTCTCTAACATGATGGCTCAGAAAACAGCTCTATAGAATACAGACTGTGTGCAGATTTGGCAGAGAGTAATGGAGTGTTTGTCTAATTTTGGTTGAAGTTCATCCTGTACTAGCAGGGACTACAATTTACCACCTTCTTGTGTAGCTGTATGAAATGAAATGGTGGTATCCCTCTACTTCTCCAGCAGTATGTGCCTGCAATGCAAAGACACTGGGGTAGAAGAAAAGAGTTGACTCAGATCATGGCCAAAAATTCAATATGCACTAATTACTTCTAAGAAGTCAACTCAGATGCACAGACATGACATGAGCCTGTGACAATGCCACCTTTATAAATGGAAGAAGGGAAGCAACTGGTGCGAATCCAAAACTGGCTAATTTTTTAATGGAAAGCTAACAAATATATTTTTTTTCTTTTTTTTTTATAGATGCAAAAGAAGATCCCTGCTATTCAATGTTATCACTCAAATATTTGCAAATAATTATAATTCCAGCCCTGTTGCTGCTTAAATCCTAAGAAGAGCACATTTACTCAATTCTTCCCTGAGCTGAGGTCCTATCTTCCAGTATTTCCATCTTCACTTCCCTGGATTGTCTTTCATCTTTCCTCTTTCTAATAATATTCTAGTGCTCAAAAGCAGCACATAATGTACAAAGTAGCACTGTTACCTGCATGGTACAAATGTGCAATTGTTCCTTGTATATTCATGGTGTAAGCCACGCTCTGTATTAACTCAACACTTTGTGTGCGTCCCTACAGCTCACAACCAAGCACTAAGCTGCTATTGGGCCCTGTGCAGAGGATCAACAACCACGGGGTTTACATCAAACAGGGATGACTGAAAAATAACATTCTCCTTTCTGTCCCTTACTTATAACCACCTATCATTGCCTCCTTCCTTCTCTTCATGAATATCTGGAGAGTTTTATGGCCACAGCACCTTCCCCAGAGTCTGCAGCAGCTGCAAGCCTCCACTTCCCACACCCCTCCTTGAGGATTTCTTTTTTCTCAGCATTCTGCCCCCTGACACCTGCTTAAGATTCTGCCCCTTCAACACAGTTAATGAAGTTTATCAGTTACCTGCTAATGAACTTAAACTAAGTGGCCAGGAAGTTGAGTTTTTCAGAGTTTAATAGCAAATGACAAAGATAAGAGTTTGATTTAGTTACCTACTTCAGCTCAAATTGATCTACTGTCCCAGTTCTCCCTGGATTCCTTTATCACGATGAAGGCAGTTTTAACACTTTTTTACTTCAACAGTTTTTACCTTCCTTAGGAGACTTGTACTTTGGTTCTGTCTTTCTGATTTTTCTTCCTACACATTCTGTTTTATTTCTACAAACCACCAACCATTTCATGCTTCCTATTTTCCATTTCATTGTTTTTTGAAATTAGGTTCATGAAAAGTTTCCAGTCAGTTATATTGGCTTTGTTCTTTTCTATTGATTATTCCAGTCCTTTTAACACATTCCAATTGCTTTAACACTGGGTTATTTTTAGGGACTTCCATTTGCATAGTCACCCTTCTTCACTAATAACCCTAGAGCCATGAATGGACCTGGCTGCACAACCTCCCTCACATTCATTCTATTCTGTACTGTTGGCTTTTATTGAGAAGCTTAGATCTGAGCTAAGTGTGTAAAGCCATTTGCTGTGTTGATGCTTTGATTACAAGTACTGGCATTCTGTCTCCACAAAAATGTAAGAAAGAAAGAATGGTCATACTTAGAAAAACATCCATCTAGGTCAGTACCGTTTCCAACAGTGGCCAAGAGCAGATAGGAAACTATCTGTATACAATGGGGAAAGCACAAACACTACCTCTCCTAGGTACTCTGTTGGCCTCCAGTTATTTTCAGCTCATGCACTTCTTCAGTCAGAAGTCTCCTTAGTCAGTGCTCTCAAAGGAGTTTTCTTCCATGAACTTGTCCAGTTTTTTCCTTCACCCCATGCTTCACCTTACAACACATGTACAAAGAATGAGCAAATATAGTCAATATACAGACAAAAGGCCAATCAGAAATAGCAATTCTGAGAAGAATCCCATTTTTAAATGTATTATTTATAAACAGAATGGGATTAGTTTATTTTTAAAGATATATACAGGGCAAACATTTGAACTAAGCAAAGGTATTTATTACTATCCACATACAAGAAAATATATCAGTACCATGAACATGCTTTGCTTCTAAATGCCAAGTGGTAATTTAAAAATATTTGAGTTACAACAGGCCAGTGCA